ACGGGAGTGTTGAGCACAGAGACAGTGGGTTTTTTTCACACTTTTTAAAATATGTTGTCACAGAGGTACCACCAGCACCGCTGACTGGCTCAGCTGTGTCCTGCAGCCGGTCTATTTTGCAGCTGGCTGGAACTGGGTCTGTCTGAAGCGTGGACGCTCCCTGGCCTCTCCTAACAGAGGTCACCCCTGCAGGCCTCTGCTACCAGATCCTTGCCATGTAAGCCAAATTCACTGGCACGTTCAAAGACTGCCGAATCCCAGCTACCAGCTGCTTCCAGCTTACGAGAAAGACAGTTTACTCCCCACAAAACCTGACTTCAGCTAAAACTGTGTGTGAGCAATTCAGACTTTGAGCTGTACTTACATAAGCAAACAAAAGAAACAAAGAACTACAGAAGTCAGCCTGTCTAAAAAAAATTAAGTTGCCTTTATGCTATATAGCAGAGTCTGCGCAGCTTCTCTGCATTCTTGATAAACCAATCATCACAAGCATTCTTCTTGTCATAATCAATCTGGGTAATGCAAAAACATACTAACACAAACCTAGAGCAGTTAAACACAAGTCACGTCCAAATAACTGAAGAAAAAGGTTTAATATAATTTAGTCATGAAGTAATCATAAGTAACAAAGTTAAGTTCTAAATTCATTTTCTGAAATCACTGACTTTCCAGGTGACCTTACAAAATTTAGAAATTGCAGTTGGGATGACACAGACAACTGGTTTTCAAATTACCCTCTGCTGGTCTCTTTGGGAGGGTGAGGGAAAAAAAAAAGCCATGGGCTATTTCTGTTCAGGCTATTTCTTCAGGGTCTGTGAAAAGTAATTAAGATAGCCTGGTCCGACTGCAAGTTTGGATAAGCATCAGTATAAGTCCACATCTTTACTAAAAAAGGCAAATTATTAAAAAGGAAAAAAAAGTCTGATGGAATCAGATGTGAACTATGCAAAAATGAGGAGATCCACTGAAGGCATCTTACATGAAATTAACGGTCCAAACAAAAACTAAATGGAAATTAGTAAAAAAAGTTTAATAAGATTGTTAACTCACCCTCAAATTTAAATTCTGGAAACTTGGTTAGATCTCCCCCACCATATGCCCGTTGAAGTCTAGCAAGAGACTCATTCATGTCCTTCTGAAACTCCGGGCCTGTGTCGACAGGCCCTCCAGCTTGCCTAAAAAAACCCATGAAACATTCTGATTAACAGTTCAGTTCTGAAATTTCATGTGGAAGTTCTGTATTTTCATGACCAGTTATTAATTGAAAACCAATCTGACAACTAACTAAAGCAAACCATTTGAAATATTTTCAAAAGTCAATATATAACACACCTTAGGGCCTACTTACCTTACACATAAACAAGGTTATCAGGGTCAAGTACAGGCTTTGTACTAAGAATGATGAAAATCCAAGCTACACAGGTAGTCTTTTGAGACATAAAATTACACTGAGAATCCAGGCTTTCAGGGCTCTTAGTTTTGTTTGTTCCAGTGTGATTTCATGACAAAATTGTGATGTGTACCTCTGCTGTTTCTAAAATAGTGATCCTGGTTAACAAAGCTGAACTATTCCTGCAAAAAGAACATGATCTGAATCCTAAACAAGCAATAAACCCAAGAGACAGGAGGCCATGCAGTCATATTGATTCAGACACGAATTTATAGGAATACAAATATAAATAAAAATAGTAACTCTTTAGATTACCAATACAGGTATCACCTATGATTGGTAAAGCCACTGAAGATATGCTTCCCCACACAGGCTAGTTTGTAGGCATGGAAACGTGTCTTCCTCCAGTAGAACTAAAAAGTGGCTTATTTCCTTCCCAAGAATAAATTAGTCTAACTCCAGTCTCAGTTTTCTGTTAGACAGTTCATTTAAACATTACAGGAATCTAAAACTCCATTTGAATTAACTACTTAGCAACTTAAGATGTTTAATGGACCAGCCTCAGAGTTCCATTAATTCTCAGCTGCCATTTTCATTCAGCTTCTGGCAACAAGACTGAAGAACAACAGTTTAAAAATAAAAAAAAAAAAGCGTTATACCAGGTATGCAAGAAAAAGCCTTCTCTCTCACTCATAACACTATCAGTAAGTGTTGCTGGAAAGGAAGAACTCTCAGAGCACAAACTCACTCAGATTGTTTTGAGAGCAAATAAGAAACTTGTTTCAGAACGGTCAATGCAGTAATAAGGCAACGTTCCCCTGAGCCAGAAGGAAAAAAAAAAAAAAAAAGTAATTTTCCATTTTCGACACTGCCCATGCCACCTTCTCAGTACATTCTTGCACCAGCATATACCACCAACAGAAGAAAAACTATTGCCACATATCAGCCAATGTGTCAGTGGTTTCAGGTGTTCTTTTGGAACACAAGAGCTAGATTGACCCTAAATTTAGCTTTAAACCTAGTAATATCTTCCGCCTAAACTATCATTTTATACTGAAAAAGTCTGACAGTAAAAGCTGCAAAGTGTCACGCTTCTAAAAAACCCCAAAATCAACCCACCTAAACAATTTTGCCATCCTTCACCCATTTTTAAAGCTAAAACATTTACATGAAATACTTCTATCCAGCTTTGCGTGGGCTGTCTGAAGTTGTTAAAGAGAAATTTGACTCGAGGCTGTTCTTTCTAGTTTCCTCCATCACTACCAGAGGTAAGGTTATCAGTGTAAGAATTCACACAGTGAAACGACTTGTGAAAGAATTCAGTCTGCTCCCAGTGATCTCGGCACTTAGCAGAACGTTGACACAGAAGCACACCCTAAACATTCAGAGATCAAGCTACTGAGCTAACATATTTGAACATTTGTCAGAATGAACATTTTTTCCCTCTTTTACCATCAGCCTTGAAACAGACTCCTTTACTTACTTGCTCTTCGTGTTGTATTCTCTAATCTTGTCCAAGAACAGCTTCTGAACTGGATCGAGCTCTTTTGTCTTATTAAAGACAACAGCGGAAAGCCCGATGTTTCTGCGCAAGTGAACGGAAACAGCAGAGCGGAAAAGGGAAGAAAGGCGCAGAATCTGCTGCAGGATCATCATGACACTGATGTTTTAGCTAAAAAAAAAAAAAAAAGCCAAAACAAATAAAATTAGTTCCCTCTTTCCACAACTTAAATGCCTAAAGAAACAAAAAGTTTCGTTCAGCGATGAGCCTTCAACCACATGCAGTCTGGGGCAGCCACCGACCCCGAAGACACGACGCCACCCCGTACTCCCTTACGCCTCCCGTTCAGTCGCGCGCTGCGACCGACTACGCTCGCACCGAGGCAAACCGGCATCTCCGG